TTGTTGACCAGGCTGACCTTAAACTCACAGAGATCTGCTTGCCTCTGCCTCCCAAGTGCTGGGATTAAAGGCGTGCATCATCACCACCCAGCCTGAGAACATAAATTTTAAACTGCAGGGCTATACACCGGTGCCTGCCTCCATCCCCTTCAGTTGATGAGAGCAGAGCCTCATGCCTATGGGGACCAACCTGGAGCTGGTCTATCCTCCCCAGCTCTAAGAAATTTCTGGGTCCACTGTGTGGTAGGCATTTTGACCTAGTTTCCCACCATCAAGTAGCGCTACTCGCTGCTCATCAACCTCATTCAAGTGCCTGGTAGCAGAGGCTCTTAATAGATATCTGCCTCTGTACACAATGACTCATCTTCACAGTGTCGAAAAAGATTATTCCACAACAGTGGGGATGGAATTAAGCAGAGAGCTCTCAAACGATGAAATATGAATGGTGGGGAAACATTTTAAAGCGTTTAACGTCTCTAGTTATCGAGAAATGCAAACTAAAAGTACATTTTAGTTTATTCCAGTCAGGGTAGTTAAGATTAAAAACCAATGATGGCAGATGATGTCATGAACATGGGGAAAGAGAAACACTCATTTGTCATGAACATGGGGAAAGAGAAACACTCATTTATTGCTGGTGGGAGCACAACCTGGTGTCACCACTATAAAAAATCAGTGTGAAGGTTCTCTATTTTTTTAAATTTATTTATTAAAGATTTCTGCCTTTTCCCTGCCACTGCCTCCCATTTCCCTCCCCCTCCCCCGGTCAAGTCCCCCTCCCTCATCAGCTCGAAGAGCAATCAGGCAGGGTTCCCTGACCTGTGGGAAGTCCAAGGACCACCCACCTCCATCCAGGTCTAGTAAGGTGAGCATCCAAACTGCCTAGGCTCCCACAAAGCCAGTACGTGCAGTAGGATCAAAAACCCATTGCCATTATTCTTGAGTTCTCAGTAGTCCTCATTGTCCACTATGTTCAGCGAGTTCGGTTTAATCCCATGCTTTTTCAGCTGGCCTTGGTGAGTTCCAGATAGCACACCCCCATTGTCTCAGTGTGTGGGTGCACCCCTCGTGGTCCTGAGTTCCTTGCTCGTGCTCTCTCTCTTTCTGCTCCTGATTTGGACCTTGAGATTTCAGTCCGGTGCTCCAATGTGGGTCTCTGTCTCTGTCTCCTTTCATCGCCTGATGAAGGTTAATATTCAGGAGGATGCCTATATGTTTGTCTTTGGATTCACCTTCTTATTTAGCTTCTCTAGGATTGCGAATTATAGGCTCAATGTCCTTTATTTATGGCTAGAAACCAAATATAAGTGAGTACATCCCATGTTCCTCTTTTTGGGTCTGGCTTACCTCACTCAGGATAGTGTTTTCTCAAAAAGTTAAAAATAAATCTACCACATGCCCAAACAATATAACTATTGGGCATATACCTAAAGGTCCCTATATACTTCTGTAGAGATACTTGCTTATTCATGTTCATTGTTGCTCTGGGTAAACTGAAACATCCTAGATGCCCATAGACTGCAAAACAGATCATGAAAATGTGTTACATTTGCTCAATGAAATATTATTTAGTTGTTAAAAAGAACAAATTATGAAATTCTCAGGAAAATGAATGGACTTGGAAACAATCATTTTTTCCTTTTTTTTTTTTTTGAGATAGAGTTTCTCTGTGTAACATCCTTTGCTAACCTGGTACTCGCTTTGTAGACCAGGCTGGCCTTGAACTCACAGAGATCTACCTGCCTCTCTCTCTGGAGTGCTGTAATTAAAGGAGGAAATAATCATTCTTAATGACATAACCCAGACCCAGAAATACTGAAGTCGTATATTTTCTCTATTTGTGGGTGTTAGCTTTGAAGCTTTACATATGTATGTTATATTTGGAATACCTATAGTGATGAGGAAATTAATAAGGGCCCATGGGTGATATTTCAAGAGAGAGGAACTAGCATGCAGTGTTGTAAGAAAGGGCTAAAAGAAAATAATGGTACAGGAAGGGTTAAGTGAGGAACCGGATAGGAGGGTAGGCTAGAAGAGGGAACACTGAGAGGGACAACTAACACTAAAGGCATTTTGAAAAAGTTCTTTCTACTGTAGAAGTTTTGTGTGTATGTGTGGGTATGTATGTGTGTATACATATATTAAACACTGTGGTGGCATTTCATTTGTGTTTTAATAAATAAAGGTTGCTGGAGGATCAGAAAAGTAAAACAGCCACACTGCTCAGGTGGCAAGGACACACACCTTTAATCCCAGCAGCCACACTAGTTTGCCATAGAAACCAGGCGGTAGTAGTGCACGCCTTTATTCCAGGAACTAGAGAGGATTATAAAACGGGAGGAGACAGCTCTCAGGCTCAGTCTCATTGTCAGATTCCGGGAGGCAGGAACGCCATTTCAGACTGAGGTAGAGGTAAAAGCCAGTGGCTGGCTGTTTTGCTTTTCTGGCCTTCACGTTGAACTCCAGTTTCTGTCTCTGAGTTTTTATTAGTCGTGCTTCAATACACATAAAGAATTAAAATGGCATTACCTGTAATGGTGCACAAGGCCCCGTTAGACAGCACAAGCTAACAACTAAGAATCCTAGTGCCAGGAATGGCTTACTTATTTTGGAGTTGTTGTCCAGTGAGACCCTATCTTAATTATGGTTTCTATTGCTTTGAAGAGACACATAACCATGGCAACTTTTATTAAGGAAAACATTTAATCGGGTGGCTTACAGTTTTAGAAGGTTAGTCCACTATCATCACGGTGTGACATGGTGGCCTGAGGCATAGTGCTAGAGCAGGGCATGAGTGTCTTCACACCTTGAACGGAAGGCAACAAGAAGTATTCTGAGACACTGGGTAGTATCTTTAGCATAGAAGACCTCAAAACCCACCCACACAGGAACACACTTCCTCTAACAAGGCCATACCTACTCCAACAAAGTCATACTTCCTAATAGTGCCACTTCCTCTGGGGGCCATTTTTTCAAACCACCACAGGTCTTCAAATATTATAGGTTACTGTCATTGTTCTTGGTTACTCTCCAGAACTCTATGGTGAGTCCCTGACACTGAAGACATCGTATACTTGAGCCATAAAACACAGAGAAGATAAACTGCCTCTCATCTGGAAGCCTCATTCTTGGCTAGCTTTCCCAGCGCTGTGCATGCTACTAAAGAAGAAAAGTCATCGTTATTTTTACGCAGTTGCCAACTCTATGAGTTAAAATAATGACCAACTGTTAAGATATGTGCACTGGTGCAGTAGCAGCACAAATGTCATAGAACTAACCCACCCAATTTCTGATTGGATTTAAAGTCCACTGCACTAACTGAAGTTATAACATGTACCCGGATACTAGTAGGCCACTCGAGCTTAGCGTACTGATGCCATGATGAAAGTACCACTGAGGCCATAAACCTCAGTATACAGACACTGCCACCTGTCAAAACAGTACTTCCCAACCTTCCTAATGCTGTGATTCTTTAATACAGTTCCTCATATTGTGGTGACTCACAACCGTAAAGTTATTTGGTTGCTACTTCATAACTGTAATTTTGCTACTTTTATGAATCATAATGTTAATATTTGATATGCAGGATATCTGATATGCAACCCCTGTGAGGGTAACAATCCACAGGTTGGGAACCTCTGTGCCCAAAACGAATACAAAGACCTAATCCATCAAAGTGCACAGATCTGGGAAAGTCTCTACAGGTACTAAGCTTGCATTTTAGTTTCTGTAGTCCTGTTCTGGTGGTCCTGGAACTCACTCTGTAGGTCAGGCTGACCTCAAACTCACAGAGATCCCCCTGCCTCTGCCTCCCCAGTGCTGAGATTAACGGTGTGCACCACAACACTCAGTTTAGGCTAACTCTTCGTGATAAGGTTTGTTAAGCCAGGATGTGGTTTTGTGTTTTAAAATTCACCCTGAGAAAGGCTTGGGGTGGCACAGGGATCCTGAGCACCCAAAGTAGTTACTGCTCAGTTAATAAAGACTTTCTATGGGGACCTGTGTCCAAGTAGTCTTCTCTGATGGATACTCCCAAACAGAAACTTGTGCTTAACACTGTTACTGAGGTCAAGAACCTGTGGCTAGAGGGTTCTTGTACCAGGGGGAGACTATGACTTTGTGAAATGGACATGGTATTAAACCAACACCAAATGACTTATTGTATCCGCAGGTCAGTGCAATTCTCAACCTTCATCAGAGCTTACTTTTACATAGATGTTGATGAACACAGAGTATGATCAGAGAAAGCCCAAGAAGAATATGGGTATCCAGTACTGTTGGACACAGTAAAGTTGCGCTATGTAACAGGGCTTACATAGGAAATTATGTAAGAGGAGAGAAAAGGGAAAGAGAAGGGGGCAGAGGCCAGTTCCTGGAAATAAGAGTGGTGGAAGAGAAAGAGAGAGAAGGAGAGGGAGAGGGAGGGAAGGAGGGAGGGAGAGAGAGAGAGAGAGAGAGAGAGAGAGAGAGAGAGAGAAGGGAATGTAGCAAATAGCAAATGTGCCCAGGGGATGCTCTCAGTGACTGCAACTGAGGATATTCTGCTGTCAGGACCCAAGGGCAGGCCAGTACAGATGCCTGAATACTAGCAAGTCCAGCAGGATCAGTAATATGCTCGTTAGAGAGCACAATGCTAGCCAGAAGGGATGAAAACCAGTGGGAGATATGCTGGACCAGGGAGCTTGACTCTAGTGTTGCTGCTGCGGCCACGAACAGCATTGCCTGTGAGCTGGAGGGCACTCACCGCCTTCTGTGAGTCATATTTGAGACACCCACCCCTAGGCTGAAATGCCTTGGTCACTTTATCACCCCTCCCTTCTCATTTCCTGTGTCTGCTAAAGCTGACTGAACCCACAGAGCAATTTCATCTTGTTTGGACAACACTTGAAAAAGGGACATTTCCCTTCCACCACTCTCTCCACTTCCCTCTTCAAAGTCACGGCTTGGCCCAGAGCTGGGTCTCAGGTTGCCAGGACAGTTAAAGCATAACTTAGCCCTCCATGGAGCTGCCTTACTACCACGGCCCGCTAACCAAGCAAGAATGTGAGACCCTGCTCCTCAAGGGCGGGGAGGATGGCAACTTTCTGTTAAGAGACAGCGAGTCTGTGCCAGGAGTCCTGTGTCTCTGCGTCTCGTGAGTAGCCTTGACTTCATGAGTTGAACCCTGATGGCAGCCATATAATCAAGGAGTTGAGTCTAATTCTACTTTGCAGTGCTAAGGAGTCAGACATGGCTAGAAGGCTGTGCCTACCCAGCTTTTTGGCTTTCCTTTCCCTCCCAGCTGTGGATGCTATACGAGCAGACCCTGAGATAGCAGAAGTAGGGATGGTGGAGAAGGAAAATCAGAGGGTGATGGGCAGAAGGAAGAACTGTCTTTTCTCCGTATCTCTTTATTTGATACGGAGAAGTCAAGGGACCTTTTAGAATGCTTCAGGCTGAAAGGCTCTCTGGCTACATTCTCATGCAGTATCTAAAGTGCTAATATTTCATGCTTTGTCTGGTTGGTAAAAGACTTTATAAGCTGCATTTCTTTGTTTCTTTTTATCCTTTTTGTGACCTTTTTGAGGCAAGCAAACATGACTGTCATTTTTATAGATGAAGAAATAGAGAAACAGCGAGTCCTTGATCATGCCTGTTTGAGACATGGAGGAGGACTTTATGGAGGGCCTCCTGAGAGGCGTAGTGATGGATGCAATGGTGATGCCAGTGGGAGAGGGAGAGTGGGCTTAACTCTGAATCTAGAGTGAACAAGTAAGCATTCGTAGCGACGAGCAGGATGGGGGGGGGGTCAGTGCACGGAAAAGTACTAAGAGGAAACTTTTGAGAGAAGAGAAGCGCTGGCTGAAAGGCACCCCGGGTTTTAGCTGAGTGAAGGCCACCATGATTAGATATCATCTGGCAGACGGCGGCAGACGAAAGAAGCCGATGAGATACTGAGGATGCTCAGATAGTACCAGGATCCTCTGATGAAGCTGAATTTTGTAACCAAAATGCGCAGGTGGGTTGGGGAGGTTTAGGAGCTCGGCTGAAGTCTGGGCAGACAAAGGGTTGTTGTCCCTGTAGGAGAGCTCTCTTGTGCTTCTCAGAGAAAGTTTCTTGGAGAAAGCTGAGAGGGCAAAAGTGACTGTCATTGCTAACTGTTATGGGGGGACCTTTGTTTCTTTAAATGGTGCCCGGAGAAACGGGGGTGTGAGAAAGTCAGCATTCAGTCCTTCCCAGCTTCTGAAGCTAAACGTGATTGTCAGGTTGTTTGTGTGTTCATCTGTGGTTCCATGTGTCAGAGTCCTGGTCCCCAGGTAGTAATATTAAGAGATGGAACAAGGGGAGACCATAGGTATTGGAACTATTACCTTTGGAAGGATCTTAGGAGATGCTGGGCTAGTTCTTCCTAAGTGGGCAGTTATAAAAATAGTAAGACTGGCCCTTCCCCTGACCCATGTTCTGGTTTACTGTCTCTCCATGTGATCCTTCCCTCTGCATGATGTCATCTGCCCCTATGTGATACAGCCAAGTGGGCCTTCGCCAGAACTGGGCCATACTGAGCAGATGAGTGGCGAGCGCTGGGATCTGGAACTTCAAAGTGATAACGTGGATAATAAGACCACTACCACAGTTTGAGCCAAATTTAAAGCAAGCTTGATTTTTTTAATGGGGTGCATTGAAGAGCTGGCTAATGACTGCCTCCTAAATTGAGTTAAAGAGAACAGTCCTGAATCCATTTCTTGGGCACCTTTTGAGAAGTAAAATCATGAGTAGTTTTACAGAAGAGAGACAATGGGGCAATAAGGAAATTTAAAAAAATCTCAAAAAAGAAAAATAGAAAAATAAACATCATATGGTTACCATGATGATTGTGGTTACCTGATTAGGGAAGGTTTAGAGAAGGTTCAGGGAGGGTCAGGGAGGGCCAGAGAGGGTCAGGGAGGGTCAGAGAGGGTCAGGGAGGGTCAGGGAGGGCCAGGGAGGGTCAGGAAGGGTCAGAGAGGGTCAGGGAGGGTCAGGGAGGGCCAGGGAGGGTCAGGGAGGGTCAGGAAGGGCCAGGGAGGGTCAGGGTGGGTCAGAGAAGGTCAGGATATTCTTAAAAACAAGTCCAAGTCATGGGTTGGGGACTGTCAGGTTCCTGGAAACAGAGAGCAACTCAGCTTTTACAGTAAATTGAAACTCATGTTTAACAATATAGTACAATGGCTCCTGCCTTCAAAATAGAGCCAGGAAGATTCCTCATTAGTCCTTAAACTAGTGCTACACCATTGCACCTCTGAAGGAAGTGATCAGAACTACTTAAGATGGGGTACATGGCAATAGGAAAAAGTGAGACTGGACCCATCTCAGCCAGGATCCCAGAGCACATGGTCTGCACTGAGATTCTCTTTCAACTCTTAGCTTCCCTGAGGTGTGTCAGCCCAGATCATATATTCATGGAGAGCAAAGGCAACTTAGACTTGTTTAAAAACAACAAAAGTCAAATGAGAAAAGGAATAAATGAATAAATATTTGCTGAGCACCTTCAGAGGATCAAGTGTCACCCTCCTCGCTGCCCAGGTCATGGAAGAAGAGGTCATGTCCTCACCCACGTCAGAGAAGAGCCGATGTCACGTGGGCTCAGACATCAGGTGTAGGTCAAATGACCCTAGTGACCTCATCATAGACTATGATCACCATTATTTTTTTTTATTATATCCTTCCTGGGTCTTATTTATTTATTTATTTATTTATTATGTATACAGTATTCTATCTGTGTGTATGCCTGCAGGCCAGAAGAGGGCACCAGACCTCATTACAGATGGTTGTGAGCCACCATGTGGTTGCTGGGAATTGAACTCAGGACCTTTGGAAGAGCAGGCAATGCTCTTAACCACTGAGCCATCTCTCCAGCCCCTGATCACCATTATTTAAAGTTTCTCACAGGCCAAGCCCTGTGCTATACTCTCGCTGATACCTTCACTACAGGCTTGAGCCTGTATTAGAGGAAATTAAGAAGGCAGTGGACCCTGTGGGGCATGCAATTGGTATGATGATTAGACAGAGTATTGCGGTGCACTGTGGGAGCTGACAGCGAAGAATGACCAATCCCTTGAGGAGCGGAGAGCCTCACGTTGGTGCTGAGCCTTGGAGGATAAACAAAACCTTCTTTTATTCATTCAGCAAGTGTACGCCGAAGTTCTTTAGGTTCCAGGCATAGCTGTAAGCATTGGAATCCAGCAACAAGTAGTGGAGGAAACGCCCCTTTGCCGAGTTCCTTGTAGTAACTAATGTTACCCTATCTTATGAGGGGTAGCAAAACCTTGTTCTTGTTTGTTATTTGTTTTTTGTGATGTGTGTGTGTGTGTGTGTGTGTGTGTGTGTGTGTGTATTTGAGACAGGGTCTCACAAAGTCCAGGTATTCATCACTATGTAGCTCAAACTTATTCCAAAATCACAGAACTCTGCCTGTCTCCACCTCCTAAATGTGATTATAAGTATCCATCATCCAACTGTTTATATAGTATCCTATGTTTCAACTTTACTAATGCCCCCAGAGTCACTGAAATACGTTCAGGGTGGTTATCTCAGAACTAGGCTATAAAGTGCCCAGGGAACTCTGCTATAAAGTGCCCAAGCAGGGGACCTGAGCCCTGACTGTGCCCTCATATCCAGAATCTTGCCATCCTGCTTGCCAGAGACAAACCCCTTCTTTGCTGCACTATATGGACTTCTGGGCTGTTACCAAACCAAACGAGGAAAGCAAGAAAAGTCAGAGATAAAGGAGGGAGGACAGCAGTGGTGGCTCATGCTTGTGGACCTAGCAATTTGGATTGCTAACCTGGCTTATAGAATGAAGCCCTGTCTCAAAATTCCAAAAAGAGAAAGGAAAGAAGGAAGGAAAGCCGGAGGGAGGGAAAGAAGGAGGGAAGGAAGGAACAAAAGAGGAAAAGAAGGAAGGGAATGGAGGGAAGAAAGGGAAGGGAGGGAAGGAAGGAAAAAAGGAAGGGAAGGAAGGAAAGGAAGGGAAGATGGAAGTAAATAAGGAAAAACCATTTAGCCAGGCATGATAATGTATGCCTAGAATCAATTCCAGCCCTTGAGAGGGAGAGGCAAGATCTGGAGTTCGAGGCCAGATTTGGCTGCGTAATAAGTTGAGGCTAGCCTGAACTATACAACATCCTGTTAAAAAATAAATAAAAGGAGGAAGAAGATGAGGCGGATAGGAAGAGGAACTAATGAAAGGCGTGGGAAGCCTCAGAGAACGTCAATCTTGCAGAGAGCTACAGTACATATGGACAGGAAACCGCACCTGGTCACCCAAAGTCATGAAAGCTAGAAAACCTCAATGTGTGAAATGCCTGTGCAGTGCAACTTCATGAAAGGGAGGAAATTGAAACTGGCTCTGCCTTTGTACCTGTAGATTCCAGGCAGGATACACATTAGAGGGTGAAAAGGATTCATCCGAGGAAAGACTCCATCAAGGGAAGGGCAGACTTCCTGTAGCCAGAGAGGCTGCAGGTGTTGTCTGCATTGAGGGGATTGGGGCAATGACTCTCTGTCATCAGAGTTGCAGCTTCCAGATCTTTAAAAAGGGTTCAGAAAGAAAAGCAATAATCTGAACAGCTATATTGTCCTTAAGACATATGCAAAAGCCTTCAAGAAAAACCGAAGGGCTGGTTGAAGTTCACTGGTAAAGGATTAGTCTATCATACACAAGGCTCTGAGTTCAACCATAGTACCAAAATACAATTACTACTACTAATGTAATTCTCAAAATAAAATTTAAAAGAGGGGGGCTGGAGAGATGGCTCAGAGGTTAAGAGCATTGCCTGCTCTTCCAAAGGTCCTGAGTTCAATTCCCAGCAACCACATGGTGGCTCACAACCATCTGTAATGGGGTCTGGTGCCCTCTTCTGGCCTGCAGGCATACACACAATATCAGAATATTGTATACATAATAAATAAATAAATATTTAAAAAAATTTAAAAGAGGGCAATGGTGATTCTTGCCTGGGTTCCCAGTATGTAGGAGGTTGGGGTAAAAATGATGGTCACGAGTTTCAGGCCAGCCTGAGCTACACAGTGAGTTTCAGATCAGTCTGGAATATGGTGTGAAACCTTGTCATAAGGGCAAGAAGAAAAAGAAAAAAAAGAAAGTGGGAGGGAAGA